CATCGGCTCACTGGGTTCTACCATGTCACAGCCCACCTTCACATCTGGTAAAACCTTACTCAGCTGTGAAAGTATCTCCAGGTCCACCTCTCCTGCAAGACCGAAACACAGATTCAACTTTAGAGCCCAGATATTTCCTGTAGATGCCGTCCATTAATGCCTTTTTATGCATTCAGTATTATTGGGATAGTAGCTCCTTCTATAGCATTGATCCTAGCTGGGTCCTGGAGGACAGACATAGCTATTCTTATTCATGTCAGTAACTGACTGTAGTTAGAAGTTCAATGGATGGAAAAGGTTCTGGCAGTGAAGTTGTGGGTATCGTTAGGCTGACCAACTGGCTGAGGACCTTTTGCTTTCACACAATGAAAAATTCATGCTGATTGCCTATGGATATTAATCTGAAGTGCTTTGAAGAACAACGCTTAGAAGTTGCTATTCCAATACCTTTGTGACAGACAGTGATAAATGTTACACAAATAGCCTTGTAGTTCCCCCAATAACATAATAACATCTATTTATGGAAAAGCTTACAATTCTAAATCTGTATTTTAAATACAGACTTTATAGACTCTGTATGCACCAGTTCATGTCTCAAACCAATACTGCCAAGATGTTGGCTTTCTTTCCAGTGACTTCAACTGTGTGATAGATAACAAACTGGACAAATCCTCATAGGCCCCAGCTTCAAACCCAAGTCTTCTCATGCTTTGAACACTATTCTGGCCCGATAAATATTTGGAGAGAATTCAACCCTAAGGTTAGGAACTACACATTCTATTCCCATCCACATAATTCATGCTCAAGACTCGATTATTTTTTTATACCGTCATCTATTGTACATAAGATCAAAATGTGCAAAACTGGCTGTGTAACTCTGACAATGGCAAGATCTGGGATGCTGAATGATGATCCTAGTGTGACTTACTGACAACAAAGCGATATTTATTATAAGTAGAACTCAAAAGTAAACCAGACAAAAAAGGAACCACAAGGGGTCTAAACATAGAAGGTGTGGGGGGGCGTAACAAACTAAACCAAGGCTAGAAATAAAGCAGAAGGAAACAGAGGGGAAATACAATGGCTTGAAACATACTGTACATACAGGTATCACACGGGAACAAGCACACAGCATTAACAATGACTGACAAAGGAACAGGGCATGACCAGGCACTTACACACATATAATGAGATTTCAACAAGATGTATGTTATTTTCCATATTATTACATACAAGCGATGAGGAAGTACAGGGAACAGGTGAGGGTTGTTAACGGGCAGTAAGGACTCAGGAATCAAACCCTACGAGGTATAAAGTACATAAGTGGAACAGGTCATAACTACAAGGCACAAAAACAACCAATACAAAAACACACAATTTTAACAATGTAATATACTGATAATCAAGGGGCACACAAAACAAAACAAAAAATGTCCATTAATGACAGAAGGGAAATACACTTCTCAGGAGCCTGCTTCACCTATTCAGCTAAGCCACGACCCAGGGAAGAAGGGGAAAACAATTGCAGTTAGTTAAGAAAGGTGCAAAAATACAGAGGAATGAGCAGGCCATGTGTTGGCGAAGTGGCTGGGGAGGTGCTTCTGAGCTTGGTACGGAGTTCATAGCTTCTTCAAAGCCATGAATTTGAGGCTCAGCGGAGACATCTTCTGTGCCTGGAACGGGGAACTCTGGCGAGATGGCCCCTTCTGGGCCGGGAACGGGGAACTCTGGCGAGATGGCCCCTTCTGGGCCGGGAACGGGGAACTCTGGCGAGATGGCCCCTTCTGGGCCGGGAAGGAGCTCAGACAACTCAGAGGGGGGTTGCTGGCCCTTTGCTGGCTCCAGGCCTTAGCACTGGAATCAGTTGTGTCACTCTCTGGAGGTGAGGGATACAAGTCTTCTTTTGGGCCTGGAACCCCAGACTCTAGTGAGGCCCCCTCTGGGCCTGGAACTTTTTACTCTAGCTAGGCCTCTTTGGGGCCTGAAATATGATGCTTTCACCAGTACTTGGATAAGTAGACATCTCCTTACCCTATCAACTTCCTGGGCTTCCAAAGCTGGGGGAAAAGCAAAGCCAACAGTTACACTGAAGGAGCTAGTTGTGTCTGAGATGGTTCTTTGCACCGTACTGACAGAAACAGAAGGCATTCTGAATGCAAAAACTTTAGGATACCTCACATCAGATTTGTCAGACCCAGAGCCAATAATTCCAAACCTCATCTCTTCCCCAAGCGATTATGATTCCACCGATCTTCTTAGACAGCATTGTTTAAAACATAGCCAGGTCCTGGCGGATCAGTTCTGGACCTGTTTCACTCACTATTATCTGCCAAATCTTTAGGAGAGAAAGAAATGGCAAGAAGATGGTAAGTAGCTACAAGTGGATCAGGTAGTCCTGATCAGGTGGCCCATGGGGAAGGTGATGTGGGTGTACCCCGATGATGACGGACAGATAAGGACCACCTCTGTGCAGGTGAAGGACAAGAATTATATCCAACCTGTGATTAGTTTGGTGCCACTGCTCCAGCTGAGTGAGGAGGATACGGAGACAGGTGTAACCTGAAGGGCGGCTTTTACTGAGGTTACAAATGGGAATCCACTGATCCCACTTTTTCTGTCCCGATACTGATACCTGGCCGTTGGGTATCGGCTGATACTGAGTACTGATCTGATACCAGTGTTTAAACTGCAGACTTTTGCATCACTGTGTGGAAAAGACTGTGATCATTCTTTTATGTGTAAGGCTGAACTTAAACCTTAAACAAAGCTTTCTGAAATCTATAAAATAAAATGTAACAGATCTGTACACCAGATAAGTGCAGCTTCCTCCAGCCGTCGGTTAGGTTCCTGGGCCACATTGTCTGAGTTGGGCATCACCACAACCCCCAAGAAGGTGAATGTGTGGAGGACTGGGAGAGCCCAGTACCGGGGGTCGGGGGGGGGGGGGGGGGGGGGGGCAGGGGGTGGAGTCCCTGAAACAGCTGCTAATCCCCAAGTCCCTCCATGGAGCTGTGCTGCAGAGCATCCGGGGACACCCAGCGGGTAGAGGCCACTTCAGCATGAACAATACTCTGGTTGTTCCAGCGCTTTTACATACCTGGATGTAGAGCTCTTCGTCCACTGCTGCACCACCTGCAAAGGTTCACACCGGTGCTCACAAGGCCTACTTCACCCCTTGTAATCCGGTGGACCCATGGAACGACTGGGAGTGGATGTCCTTGGCCAATTCCCTACCACGGTCTCTGGCAACCTCTACATCCCCCTGGCCATGGATAACTTCACTAAGTGGCCCAAGGTACACAGTGCAGTCAAAGTAGAGCCTCATGCTGCAGCTCAGCCGGTAGTCCTATGGGCCTGCAGGAAATTAGTGCCTCCTTCTCTGCCTCTGGGACTAAGGTGGGTAAGGGTCATATGCTCATGGGACGGCTAACCCTTAAGGAGAGCTCTGTAGTGCTGGGCATTTCCTGGTGGTTGGACTGTGCATTGGGCTAGCCTGTGTCTCCCCGTCTGTAATGTGTCAGCCAATTTGTGTTCCCCGATGTGCAACACTCCGCACTGACTAGCTTTCAGTTACTGTTATCTTTCCTTTTGTGTTAAATAGCTTGCATTTGAAAAATCCCCATCAACTGTGCCTGTGTAGATGTTTATCTTTCACGTGTCCCGATTTGTGCAAGTACTCTCCTACCATGTGGTAATGTTAGTGAAATGCACCCCCCCCCCTGCATTTTACCCAGTCTGTGTACTGAGATTTCTCTTGTTTGTTTGTTGTACTACATCCTTTTAAAAGTGCTTACTTGAGCCTAGACTGCCTGCCTGCCTCCTGAGGTCTTTGCTGCTGGAGCATCACAATGTGATTTATATCTATTGATTAATCTTCTAAATTGTCCATATTTTCAATTATTTTCTCATATTGAGAGAAGTCTCATACCTGTACCAGTCCCAACGGACAAAACACTGAATGCAGTCTTGCCCTCCCCAATGCTGCAAGAGACATACAATCTTTGTTAGAAAGTGGACTTCATTGGTACTTTTATAATGCTGATAAGCTTGTCAAGTCAAACAGCTGACATAACAGTATAGGGCTCATTTAATTTGATAATATTTATAATGACATATACTTTCACTTAAGGACTTCTGAAATTCATAATCCTCCTGAGACCCAAGGAAAAAAGTGTCCTTCAATTGTATGTTATTTGTCTAGGAAATAAGACATCTTACAATTAAATTTTTTCAAATTTATTTTTATTTTTAATTTCACAGCATGTCCTCTTTAGTGCACAACAGGAATAAATATGTTTCCTAACATCAGTGAAAAACTAAATGCAAAAATACAATGTCCACTACAATGGACATAAATGAATAGGTCGGGTATCAGGAGGTTACTACTGGTAAGATCGATCACCGTACTAATTGCTGCATCTATGCAGAACTGCGACAAATTTCTGTATCTTTTTCCTATAACTTATTACATTTTTTATTTTAGCATTTTATTTATTATTTGGTTGGTAAAAGTAATTGTCCTAAGAATATTTAACATATCAAACATTTTACAATTGAAATTTACGCTTGACGAAACCGGGTATTGTTTTAACTTTTACCGTGCGAGGATGTCAGGAAGACTCCCACGAATGAATTGACTCATAGCCTGATGCTCCGACGACAGATCGAGGAACAACCGGAAGGACGTGTAGTACCTTTTGTAGTCAAATGCAAGGAACTTCATACCTAAAGTAATTTTAGACTGCTGTAAAAAATATTACATATTTTAATTATAATCGAATAAAAAACATTGAAATAAAATAAAGTACAAATATGCGAACTGATTAAAGAAATATAATTAAATGTGTTTATGTACGCAAAGCTAAAATGTTTAATGCATATTTGCGTGATAATAACACGAATTATAACTACATAAATTAAACTATATCGGTGCCGGCCAATAGTTCAACGTTATAATTATTTAAGTTTTAGTGTTTTCACCTATACTTTTTAACACTGGCGCAATGCACAGGCTGCACCTGAAGGTAAGTTAGCCTCATATTCCATATTCAGTTTTCTAGCTTTAATAACTTATCACGGAAGTAAGGTGGGACGTTATTAATCACAGAATCGTGTTGTCCAGTACGCAGGCTACGATGCACACCGATTATTTTTGCGCTTCAAACCATTTCGTGATTTGTACAAAATCGTGTTAATAGCTAATAAAGTAAGTGCTGTCAGCTGTAATGACATGGTGCTTTAGCATTTTGGGCTCATGGCGACTGATGCACACCCCTTTGTTTCCCAGATTGCTTTACGTACGATTTTTAATTAATTTTTGAATGTTCGAACGTATCCGTGTAATGCGAAATGGGACAATGCATGAATGGGTTAATAACTTTAAAACTAGACAAGACAGGCACTTCTAGTGAAGTGTGCTTTGATCAGTGGACTACAGGGAACAATGCACACCCCTTGGATTTTCAGAAAAACTTTCGCTCTAACAGTTATTAATTAATACATTGTATGCATATTACATGGCATAGGGGCAGTGCACTAAAGGGTTAATAGCTCTGAAAACAAATGAGACAGCCACATTCTACCAAGTGTGCATGGATCAGGGGAACCTGGGGGACAATGCACACCCCTTAGATTTTCAGAATAACTTTCACTCTAACAGTTATTAATTAATACATTGTATGCATATTACATGGCATAGGGGCAGTGCACTAAAGGGTTAATAGCTCTGGAACCAAATGAGACAGCCACATTCTACCAAGTGTGCATGGATCAGGGGAACCTGGGGGACAATGCACACCCCTTAGATTTTCAGAATAACTTTCACCCTAACAGCTATTAATTAATACATTGTATGCATATTACATGGCATAGGGGCAGTGCAATAAAGGGTTAATAGCTCTGGAACCAATTGAGACAGCCATGTCCTGTGAAGTGTGCATTGATCAGGGGAACTTGGGGGACAATGCACACCCCT